AGAAGTTTTAAAAAAAAGAAAAACTGAAGGGTCTGGGAGACACAACTCAGTGTGAAGCCCTTGGGGTTCAACCTCCAGTAAACAGGGAGAAATAAAGATGGAGAATTAGGGAGAGACAGAGAAACCGACACAGAGAGAAAGTTTTTATTTTCTTTTTTTTTCCATAATTGTATTGAGAAACAAACAGCAATGAGACAGTTTCAAATCAAATTGGTAGGACAGTTTCAATAATTAACACATTGCATATATTCTTCCTAGTGGTTAATTGCTGTGAAAGTTTTTATTTTCTATCCCACGCCCCAAACAAGATTAATGAACAGCAGCGATTATTAGCTGATGCCAGAGGTCTCAGACCACCTCTCCCACCAGCAGTATTTTCAAGAGTTTCTTTCATTTTTGTTGATAAACAAATTTAGGATAAACCTGGCCAACCCTCCATTTGGAACTTCTGTTTGCCAGGCTAATAATTTTATTTTATTTTATTTTATTTATTTATTTATTTATTTAGGTGGAACCGGGGATCGAACTCAGATCCTTGCATTTGTCAGTCAAGCGCTTATCCTACTGAGCCATCTCCCCGGCCCCAGGCTTATAATTTTAAACATAAAAGAGCTACAACGCAAGAAGAAACTAGTTAGTGAGTTCTTTTCTGCACTTACTATTAATTCTGAGATGAAGATAATATCACAATTACAGAGCACCTTTGTTTTGATAAGTTAGAAATACCTTCACATGTTAAAGTTTTCTAATATTCAAATATTTTACTTTACAGATGGAGATAAACCAGTGTCTGTCAAACAATTTTTTAATGGTAAACATGAAGAGAACAATTAGAGAACTCAGTCTTCTTCTTTACCAGAGGTGCACTATAGGTAATATTTTGAAGATAATACTGTTTTTTTGGTTTTGTTTTTTTTGGTTTTTTTGCCATACTGGAAATTGAACCCAGGATACTCTACAACTGAGCTACATCCTAGCCACTTTTTTTAATGCTTTTTTAAAAATTTACTTGGTACAGGGTCTCACTAGGCAGCTTGGACTTGTAGTGATCCTTCTGTCTCAGCCTCCCCAGTGCTGGGATTACAGACATGTACCACCATGCCTGGTGTCAGTGCCAGCTTGGTGCGCCCAGGGTTCTGGGGCTAGCATAGCACGCGGTACCAGGGATCAAACTCAGGTCTTTGCACTTGCCAGACAGGCACTCAGACTAAGTAGCTATCTCTCCAGCCATAATGATTTTATTTTGAAGAACAATCTCATTGAGTTGTCCAAACTGGCCTTGAACTTGCAGTCCTGACTCAGCCTTCCAAGCAGGTGGGATTACAGGTGCTATCCCAGCAATACTACCCTGAGCTGACATTAATCCCTCTACTTCCCCTTAGAATGCTGAAACATGAAAATACAAACACACGAAATACATTCACAGGATTACTGGTTTCAGATCCTGTGGGTACCTGGACAAGTTCTTAACTTCAACTACAAGGTCACTGCCAGGCCTAAAGTCTGCCCCCTGTGACCTGTCCCATGGTTGTCATTTACCAAACTCACAGGTTCCCCTTGCTGAAGCCAAAGTGACAGATACCTTTTCGCCAAGCCGAATGCTGCCACATTTCAGAGTGTTGATGTCATTTTTGCAGTCATCCATGAAGCCGCATATTAAACGATAGTCACTGAAAATGATGGCCGTCATCTTGGTAATGTACTGGTGACACTGATACTCGGTGATGTTGCCTCGGTGATCCACCAAGCAGGAAACCATGTAACCTTTTCCAACTGGTTCATCAGCACATTCCTTAATCTGTTCAAAACAAAGTGGCTGTGTTACAAGTATTCTGTGCTCATATAAAACTACATGTTTTTTTTTTTTAAAAAATGTTTCTGCCTCAGCCTCCCAAGTGCTAGGATTACAGGCATGTACCATCATGCTCAGATTTAACTGGGTTTTTTCAAACGAACAGATCAATGGTAGCAAACCTAAAGCGAGCTGTTTATGTCACTGAAGTTCAAAAAGGCTCGCCATCACTACCATACCATTATCCCATTAACAACAGAGTCTCTTTTAACTCCAGCATCAGGGCCGGGGAGATACCTTAGTAGAATAAGTGCTTGCCTGGCAAGTGCAAGGGCCTGAGTTCAATCCCCGGTTCCGCAAAAAAAAAAAAAAAAAAAAAAAAAAATAATAATAATAATAATAATAATTCCAACGGCAAACCCAAATCAAGTCAAAATCAGTTTTAAAAAAAGATTTTGTTTACTTTTAAGAAAGGAAACTGGGGCTGGGGAGATGGCTCACTAGAATAAGAACTTCCTTGGCAAGCACAAGGGCCTGAGTTCAATCCCCAGTTGCGCAAAAATAATAAAAAAAAAAAAAAAAAAGAAAGGAAACTTAGGAATTTAAGTAGTCAATAGCTTCAGAGGTAGCAGAGATCTTCAGTAGTTAAGGTGAACGGTCTTACAGTTCAACCCTGAACTCTTTTTGCAACACCTAAAAACAGGGCTACTGAGTGTACTTATTCCTAAATGTGTTCAGCAAAACAGTGTTAATTTCAGAAGCAAGAGAAAGAAAATGGCTACTTAAAAATCCCAACACTTACAATTCAACCACAGGAAAAGGTCCTGCATTAAACACAGAACTAGTTCTGGGTTTTAGGACTTAAGCTCATGGCTAGGGAGACAACTCAGCAGCATGAGCACCTGCCTGGAGAGTGCAGGTCCTGAGGTCGATTCCCAGCACACAAAAAAAGGAAGTATTCATATTGCTCCTAATACTGGGCGGGCAATCAGTAGTTCAAACATAGGTGGTAAACCAAGAGCAATTTCAAATCAGAACTCCAATAATAAGCCAAACATATATTTAGTTTCAATTGCTCGAGATTTTTCCTTCTGTGTTCAAAGTTATTTGTCTACGTCTTTGTCGCATGGTATTTCCCCCCCCGCTCAGTCCCGGGAATTGAACTCAGGACCCTGTACTTGACAGGCAAGTGCTTATTCTACTGAGCTATCTCCTTGGTCGAGATTTTCCTGAACTGTGGAAGTAGTACACATTTGTATTTCAGTTTATTACCAATGACAATAGGGTATAGTGTTTGAATGAGAAGTTTCAACCATTCTGCCAGCCAATACTTTCCTTCAGTGTCATTAAGACAACAGCAAAAATAGCACACGCCGGGAGCCATGGAGACATCTCTAGTCTCAGCACATGAGAGGCTAAGGCACAAGGATCACAAGTTCAAGTCCTTCCTGGGCAACTTTGCCAGACTCAGTCTCTAAACAATAAAAAAGGGACTTGGTGCCCTCACTTAGCTCAGTGTGAGGACAATAAAAACAAAGGCAGGGGCTGGGGAGTCAATCTCTGGTGGGGGGTCACAGTCAGTATTAAAACATCAACATGTGATACGGTCTATATCCTCAAGAGAGAGACAGACAAGAAACTGAAGAGGCTAGGGAGCTGATTCATGGGGTGTATTAAAAAAAAAATGCTTGAGTTAATTTAGCTCATTTGTGGAGAGTAAGTAAGTTTGGTTAGCAAGTATTTTATTTTTTTTTTTTTAAGTTGATGTATTTGGTACAGGGTTTCACTATGCAGCTCAGACTTGCAGTGATCCTCCTGTTTTCAGCCTCCCGAGTGCTGGGATTACAGGCATGCACCACCACACTGGGACTCAGTGGCCGGCTCAAAGCACCCAGGGGCAGGACTGGGTGACCTATGGTGCCAGGGACCAACTGCACTTTGCCTAAGCAGGCACTTAGTACACTGAGCTATCTCGCTTGCCCTTGCAAGTATTCTTGGGATGTTCCTTTTCTCTGTGAAAAGAGGATTCCCAAACTTTAAAAAAAAAAAAAAAGCAGAAGAAGGTAACAGAGCTGGGGAGATGGCTCAGTGGAATAAGCGCTTCCCTGAGTTCAATCCCTGGTTCCACAAAAAAAAAAAAAAAAAAAAAAAGAAGGTAACAATAAAAGATGATCTGAGAACTATACTCTTCCCAATAGTATATAATTTTCCTGACTCTTGTAAAATCTCTTCATAGGGATTACAATGGGATAATAGGGACAGCAGTCCTTCTTACTTGGATCTTTTACAAAACTACACCACAACAAAAGATCACAGGGTTGCCACAAAAGGTCACTAGTGATACTATGAGGAATGCAGCCTAATGCAAGGGGTGAAATTTTCTCTTTTTTTGTCTTTTTGAGACAAGGTCTCACTATGCAGTTTGGGCTGGCCCTGAACTCACTGTGCAGCCCAGGCTGGTCTTGAACTTGCAGTGATTCTGCTGCCTCAGCCTCCTGAGCGCTGGGAATTCAGATGTATGCCACCAGGCCCGGCAAATGAAATTATCAGGATGGATATGTATATACTCTGAATTCAGTTTCCACATGGCAATCAAACCCATACTACTTAAAGTTGATATAAAATGGGGCAAAACAAATATATATATATATATATATATATATATATATATATATATTCTGATGTGTCCAAAAAAAAAAAGAAAAAGCAACCTATTTATTTTTTTTTTCTTTTTTAGTACTGAGGGTCGAACCCAGGGCCTTTCGCTTATAGCTAAGTGCTGCACTGCTGAGCTACACTCCCATCCCCCTACTTATAAACTAATAGTTCCAGAATAAAGTGAAAACATACACACATTTACAGGTCAAGCCTGGGATTGTTTCTTTGTTACTATTTGTTTCTATTATTAAGAAATCCCTTTTCCTCTTCAGATTTTCAAGTTGGAAGGTTTAGACACATATCCAGCTAAGAGTTTAAGATGCAGAATATTAAAACCGGAAGCCAAACATCAATTTTTCAAAAACATGCTCTTCTGTTTAGAGCCCTAAAGTAAATATGGAGGGTTACGGCTTTAAAAGACTAAAACACGTCTGACTAAGTACTGGAGGGCCTGGCACTGTGAGGGCCACCAGACCCAGACGTGACACACACAAGCTAAGGGGTCTCCTGGAGGGACAGGTCTTCCTACAAAGCTCTGGAAGAAGTGGCTCTGACTTAAGTCATCAGTAGTTTCAACGTAAGGACAGATTAGTATGTTGCCAGCACAGTGACTATAACTTGAGTAGAATAATAACATATTCTCCATAATTTCCATATTTCAATGTGCAAAAATTTAAGGCTTTCTGGGGTTTCTATTACTGATTGGACAACCCCCCACCCCAGCAAAAAAAGAAACTTCAAATACCACAATTTTCACGCCAGTGAGGTGCTGCGTAACTATAGCCCCAGCACCTGGAAGGCTAAGGAAGAAGGGCTGCCAAAAGTTCAAGGCCAGCCCGGGATGCATAGAAAGATCAAGGATACTCTGAACTACACAGTGAGACCCTGTCTCCAAAGGGGAATAAAACAAAACCGTAATTTTCCTTAATATCATTTGTTCTTTACATTGAGCCAAGATAACTAAATCAAAAAATTCTCTCATTATCTGTATAGTGCTACCCATTTTCCTTAACTGTTTTTGTCTTTATACTCGATCCATTTATAACTGTATGAATGTGAGTATCTGGAACACTTCTAGCACTAACTCCTGTTATTTGAGGCACAGAGTCTGGCTCAGTTGATCCAATCAACTGCCACACCAGAGCACTGATGAATGTTTATAAGCCTCCTGGGAAAGCTTTGGGCTTGCTGCAGACAGGCAGGTGTGAAAAGTGTGGGAGCAGCCATGATGGCTCCTGCAGGTGCATGGGACGTGTGGGTGCCAACAGAGCCTGACTGCTAACTGTGCGAGTCTACAGCATCCCACTAGGAGTGTAGGAGGCGGGAACAAAAGAAGTCTAATTACACCCCTCTTCCTATCTCACAACCAAGACAGATGTGAATTCCAAGAAAAGCAAAATGTCTGAGTCATTCCTCTCTTAATTACTGGTCTGGTCAAGCGATGTTAATTTTCTCTACTGAGTGGTAAGTATTCACAACACTCTTTCACCACCTACCTCTGATATGGTTGATTTGCAAACCTCTCTGGCCACAGATTCAAATTTGGGATCAGTAGTCAGGTTCAGTTTGTAATTCCACAACAACTACATTTGAAGAGAAAACCATGCAAAGGAAAAAAGTTTCCAGTTAGAAGAGCATCACATTTATCATCCGTGTTTACTATACTTGACACATAAGGCAACTACAGAGTCAGGTAAAGCATACTCACATGCCAGGTGACAAAAAAGTAGCACAAAATGTCATCACGTCCACAGATAAAAGAGAAAAAGCATGCAGACAAAATAAAAGTACCATTCAAATATTTTTTACTAAAGAGTAATTTTTTTTAAAAAATTATGAACTAAAATCATTTAGTGTCAACAAAAAAATTAAATATTAAACGTCCCTGATAAAAAGTTTTCAGAGAAAAAAATAGGTTGCAGAAGGTAACTTATGCTTGAAGCAGAAAGTCTAATCTTGCAGGTCAGATGTGGTAGACTCTGAGATTTCAACACCAGCAGCTGTTTTGTTTGTTTGCTTGCTTGTTAGACAAGGCCTCACGGCTCAGGCTGGCCTGCGCTCACTCTGCAGCCAGGCTGGACTTGAACTCGCAGTGATTCCTCCCCTGCAGCCTCCCGAGTTACCATCAGACCAATAGTGCTTTTATACGTTGGGTATGAAGGAGCTGCTCAGAGTCTACTTGGCAGAGTGATCTACCTCATTTCTTTAAAATACCTGACTACACTACTTTAAATGACTGCTCTTTTTTCTCTCAGCGCTGCTGGGGATGGAACCCAGGGCCTGTGTGGGCTGGGGGAGGGCTCCACCACTGAGCTGTAGCCTTGGCCCCACACAATTACGTTAACGTTAATGTGTATCAGTCTAGACACAGTATCTCGAAAGCCATCTTTACTCTTAGGTGAGGGGTGAATATTACTTTTTCTTTGAGCTTCAGGTAAACATTTTTATTAGTGATTCTATTTCTGAAAAGTAGCAAAAATCAGCCTTCAAACTGTTCAGGAGGAGGGGTAGATCAGAGGCTCTGGCTATAGCAGAACATGAAGGGACAGTTTTGGAGGGCTCCACTGCTTTCTCCCTAACTGCCACGCTGCAGGCTGGGGGATCGGTGCATCTGCTTAGCTCATGCACTGCACCACACACAATCTAATGCCAGGAGTCTGGAAATTGGAGACAGAGCTAAGTACTGACTGAGGGCCTGCTACGCTCCAAGCACTGTAGGAACTACAGACAAAGCAGAGGGTCAGAAAGTCAGATTGCCCAGTCAGACTGTGGCCAAGCATGGGAGCAGTGAGTGGCATCGCAGGTACCACAGCAGTGTGGGAGGAACACAGGGGACTGGGAAGGGGGCGGGGATGAGATGGGGGACAGGAGTTTGGCCAGGGGAGGCCCTCCAGGGAAAATGGCATTTACAAAATTGATCCCAGGTTAGCAGAAGTCAAGGGATGAATATATTTTAAGGGAAAAGTATTTTAAGAAAATGAAGCAGGGCTGGTGAGATGGCTCAGTGGTCTAAAGCACCTACTTAGAACGCGCTTAGCAAAGCACAGGGACCGCGGTTCAATCCCCCAGCACCACATGCCAGCCAGCCCCGCCCCCTGGTGGGCTGAGCTGGCCACACACACACACACACACACACACACACACACACACAAATAAATAAATAAAAAATTAAGAAAAGAAAATGAAGCAGCTTGCAGGACAGTGAGCATTAAAGTAATTCAAATTCCAAGAGAGGGTGACTCAGCAGAGGAAGGCCAGGCCCAGACCCAAAGTATAAGCCATGTCTGAACTTTAACCACAGTCAATGAAGGGAAAGTAAGTGGTGACACAACTGGGTCCACTTTCTGGAAGTGGAACCGAGGCACGGTAGGTAAAGTGTCAATAGGCATGACAAAGAAACAAGCAGTTAAGCAGAAGGATGTACAGTTTCCTCCTCCATCCAAAAGCAGTAACAAGCTCCAGCCTCCCAACCATTGTCAACAAGCTCAGCCTTATGAGGACAAATGAAGGCAGTCAGGGGAGAACAAGGCACTGCTCAGGGATTACAGGAAATTCTGTCAGGTGAAATGGGGAAAGTGGGACACCTGGCATGTAAGAGTAGAAGGGAAGAAGGGTGAGGATAATGCAAGGGAGTCAGACCTACTTCAAAACAGCTGGAGGGGAGGCTTGAAAGGTGGAGTTGGGGAAGAAAGCATGACTCAGGTCACATTGAGCACTGGAGTTTATACCAAAGAAGCGGCTTGGTGTTCTGAGACAGTCTCACTCTGCAGGCCAGGCTGGCCACTAACTTTGCATGATCCTCGGCCTCTCAAATGCTAGGACTACAAACAGCCAACACACCTAGCTGGGGATAGCAAATTTAACCCCAGTTGGGACAATTTAGCAACTTAGCAAGACTCTATGTCAACATATAAAGAATAAAAAAGGGCTGAGATAGAGTTTATTCCACGGGTCCTAGGTTTAATGCCTAGTATTTGGGGGGTAGGGAATCAAATTCTCATTAGAAGGATTTATTTATGGTTTATAGGGACA